CCACAACACGATCAACAACAACAACAATACCGGTAGCAACAATTATTGTATCTTCAACAACAGTAACAACACTACCACCACCACGCAATAACAACGACAACAGCGACGACAATTGCGACAACGACAACAGCAATAACATCCTGCCACCACCACAACAACAAAACCAACAACAAAACAACAACAACAGTGACATTGTGGAAAGTAACGACAACAGAGTTCTAGCTAGCAGTATAGCCGCTGTCCTGTTCCCCGTACAAGTTAATCATTGTATGATTAGTATGTACTCGAGTGGTGCCTGGTGGGGGCTTACATGACTGTGGTGCCGGGTGGGGGCTTACATGACTGTGATGCCGGGTGGGGGCCGAAATGTTCCGTGGACTTGTTGGTGGGTCGGGCTGTTGGATGGCCGTTGTACGAGCTGGGGGTGTTGTTTGTGGTGTGTGTGTCTGTGTGTGTGTCTGTGTGTGTGTCTGTGTGTGTGTCTGTGTATGTATATACGTACGTATATGTGTGTGCGCGCATGTGTGTTTGCATGTACGTGTGTGTGCGCACGCTCGCGCGACATTGGTTCAATCCGGTCATCCATACTTTTAAACTGTTAGTCCTTACCAAATTATGACAACTCTTTATCGTTGTTTTCTTTGGAACCTAATTTTCTTTGCTTTGGTTTAGTGCGGACGTGGTATTGGAAACGTCTTTTGAGATTTCTGTGACTGCGACTGACACCGTGTGTGTGGGAAATTTGTGCCGCTGTGTGTAGATTCCGTGTGCATATTTGTTATTGTTGTTTTTACAATTTTTGAAAATAGAGTTTTGGATCTGGTACATTTCGATCTTGTTCCTGGACTACCGTTGTGCCACCAGCCTTCTAAATGAACCTTCTGTGTGTCGATGGGAGCGTAAAACAGTTCCAGTAAAACCGTGGTTGTGTGTGTATCGCTGTGTATGTTCTAGTGTCGTAACATCCTCCCGGCCCGGCCAGCGATGATGGAGATTCAGACAGAACTGTGTGGCGCGCCTCTCACCGCTCGGCTGTCCTCAGAGAGAACCGTGTGTTCTCGGAACATGCCCGGCCTGACGTCACCACATTATGGTGGTGGGTGTTGTACCTCCCCCCGCTGCTCTCAGCTCTAGCCCACCTCTACCCCCCCGCCCGCCGACTCATAGCTTTGTGGTGGCCCATGTTGACTTGTCACAAGCCTGGACTGAACAACAACAACATGAATACTGAAGATTTCACCGGTGGATAGGACGCGTGTGGTGGATACGTTGGTTACTTGCTCAGTTGCCGCTGCTGCTGTCTTTGAAAACGGCATTTTTTATTTTGAAAAACGACATTTTGTTCTTTGAAAACGACATTATGTACGAGTCTTGCGGCGGCTAGTCTGTTCCGACAAGAAACGACCTGAAAAGCTCCTGACTATAATCGTCCTTCCCTCATCCCTTTTTTGGTGGACTGCCCACCAGTGGTTTGTTCCGAAAGGAAGGGCTTCTCACCAAACAGGCTGTGAGTGAGTGAGTGTGTGTGGTTTTGAGTCCCTCACACACTGGGCCTGTTCCTACACGTTGCCAGTCACACTCACACACACTGAACCCGTTCCGAGAGGAAGCGCGTGTCTTCTTCGATCCTGCTTATTCCAAAATGGATGGTAAATTTGTCCGAGGTTCTGTTTCCTAGAGACCTTGCAGCGTTGCAAAGGGGCGTTAGTTAAACACCTATACAGAAGGTTGGCTGTCTGTTCCGAGAGTAAGCGCTTCTTGGAGCTGTCTGTTCCGAGAGTAAGCGCTTCTTGGAGCTGTCTGTTCCGAGAGTAAGCGCTTCTTGGAGCTGTCTGCCTAAAGTATAGAGGGGGAAAGAACAAGCGAAAAAACAAAGTAACATAAAGATAAAAGCCTCCCACCTGTAGCAGCCGGTCTCCTAAAGTTTTCCACCATGAGCCTGGAAGATTTTGAGGCGGACGATGTGTTTGAGACGATGGAGGAGGTGGTGGAGGAGTTGTGGTCGTCCCCCCTCATGAACCACCGGTCGCCGTTCGAAGACTACAAGGATTTATACGAGGATTTCGAGAAACACTCGCGCATCCCGGTGT